TCAATTACGAGCCTGGCTGAGTTACTGGGTCCCTCTTTTCTAGTTAAGCTTGAAAGGGTCCTGATCCTTCTCAGAGGATTCCAACCCCCCTCACAACCCCCTATATAACCTTAGCAAAAGTCTGAGATTCCCCCCAACCTGCCTTTGCCTTTCTGGTGCTGGGGATTGAACCTAGAGCTTGCACATGCTGACCACATGCTCTGCCATTGAGCTTCACCCCCAGCTCTGAGATCCTTTTTCTACTCTGCAAAATTTCCTCCCAACAGAAAAACAGAATTTATGCTACATGCCACCAGTCCTCTGCCGTCAGGTTCAATGTCTTCTCCTGAATTACAAATGAAAATGTGCCATTAACATCATTATCTCTTTATAGGTCAGTGGACAAAGCTGGATTCCCTGAGAGGTAATGACAGCTTCAACAGCTGATGTCTGACACCCACCTTCTCTCTATTGCAGGGTATTTCTGGTTGGATCTGCTGCAGCCCCAATGCTGGGCCCCTCTCCTTTTCTTTCCCTTACAATCTCTGGAACCTTATATAATCTTCCTGGGATCCTGCCTGAGCACCTAATGACCCTCCATCAGCAATTTCCTCAACAATTTGTTTTCAGCTGCCACAGCCCAACTACAGGCTTTGCTAAGCCTGCCTGGGTTGATAGAAGCTTTCACCCCAAATCTCCAGAAAAGTCTTCAATTGTTCTATTACTGACTTGCTGGTCCAGGGATCATCTGACCTAGATGGGCTCTTTGAGGAGAAACAGCAAATGTACTGGATGATAGTTTTTCATGTTGGCCTTTTCCCCACATAGCTCTGGTGCCCTTCACAGCACCCCTGAATCCATCTATCCAAGAAAAGTGCTTTATGGCTTCTTTTCACTGTTGTTTCCTAATCCATTTGTCTACCCCAGGATGGCTTAGAAACCTTATCAGGGCCTCCAGGGAGCAGGCCAGCAGAGTCTTCTACACACAGGCAGCCCCAACCAAAGCTCAAATTCCACATAGAAACTGAGAGGTAGAGAACTGTGTGGATATGTTGGCCACCCTGGTGCTGGTCACAGGGTACAAGGCAACACCCCTCGGGGTACCCATGATATGGCAGGACTTGCTTCCAGACCCTTCACTGGAGGAGGCAGCTTCTGCTTATCCAGAGTCCTCTCAGCCCTCTGACCTGGGCTGAGAAACTTATCCATATTCAGGACTGATGCCCCCTGGAGGCCTCAGGAACCAGTGCACTCCCATGCTTTGATTTAGGTTAGAGCCCAGGGTTTTTCCTCCCTGAAATTAGGCCTCCACAGTCTTCATTCTTCACTCTCCTTAGCCCTTCTTGGATGAACTTAGTGGAATGCCCCCTTCTACGATTCTTTCCCTTTCTCTGTGAACCTCTGCTGCCCAGGGCAGGCTTAGGAACCTCAATCTCTTGCTTGATTTCCTTGGGAATTCAAGTCCAGAGAAATTGAACTATCTCCTTTTTTGTGTGTAGGCTTTTCAATTCTCCTAACCAATAGAGTTCTGACTTTCCCCAAGGGGATATAAATGTGGGCCTGAAAATATCTTCATGGACAGAACTTCCTCCTGCACTGAAATGGGTCACATTTAAGTTGGACATTAATCCACTGTCCCTTGGAATGGCTATGTCCCACCTGTCCTGCTGTGGATCTGAGTTTTCTCACTGAGCCCCATGGAATGCTGGATATTCTGGGCCTGATGCCTGTTGCTGTGTACTTCAGAGCAGAGTATGGGTTCTCCCACCTCCCCCAGATTGAAGTCTCAGAGTTAAAGCTTCAGGCAGCCTAAAAGAATTTGCTGCTCCCAAATGATCCCTCCCAATATCTTTCTCTTGCTTTGTTTATAATGATTCTTCTGAATAGCCTATTATTGTTTCTCTGTGAATAAATAATAATGATTTGCTCATATCTATTGGGCACCTGTGTGTGTCTGGCACTGTGCTAAGCAATTTATATGGATTATTTCATTTCAATAAATATATATAGTACTTGCTATGGTACTTCCACCTCCAAATTCATGTGCTGGAAGCTTAATCTCCGATGTAACAGTGTTGGGAGGTACGGCATAATAAGAGGTGTTGAGTGTTAATGGCACTATAAAAAGGGCTTGGTGATATGGGTTCTATTGCACTCTTCTGTTCCTCCAGACACCAAATCTACTGATATCTCTATCTTGGACTTCCCAGCCTCCAAATTTGTGAGAAATAAATTTCTGTACTTTATAAATCACCCAGTCTCAGGGATTTTGTTATAGCAGCACAGGCTACAATGCCTTTTCCACAATAACCACAGTGATCTCCAAAAATATATCTCAGATCACTTTCTGCTCCCACTTAAAACTTTTTTCTTAAAAATAAAATCAGTTCTAATTCTACTAGCCAAAGAACACCACTATGATCCCTTTATTTTTGATTCCAGCTTTTTCTACTCTTATAACATTCTTAATAGAAAGATGTGATTTATAAAATTCTTCTTAACTGTGTATCTCAAACATTAGCATTTTTAAAGATGTGCATATGGTTTCTCTATACATTTAAGCAAAACTTCAAATAACTGTTTCCTACTGATGAAAAGTTAGGTTTTTCTGGGATTTTTTCAATTTATAAATAAAGCTGTAATGAACATTGGTGCACACATCTCTTTGTGCATTTCCAAATTATCTTCTTTGAATATATTCCTAAAATTGGAGGACTATAGATGATTCTAAAGTATTCAGTCTTTAAGAAATGTTTAGAGGTTTTGAACTGCTTTGTTTTGCATTCTAGTTTCTCTTCTTACTCCACAGAATCACTATCCAATTGTTAGTTTGTTTCATATGGCATCCAGTTCATCCCTACTGCTTAAACTTCTCAGTAGTTTATTGTTATACTATAAATCCAATCCAAATTATACCTGAGTTAAAAGATCCAACTCATATCCACCCAACTCATTCCTTTCTGCCTTCCTGGCATCCTCCTGCCTGCAGCCAGCCTGGCCTCCTGTCAGATCATCAAATAAACCAAGACCTCCACTCTCAGCACCTTTCTATCTGTTCTTCCCTTGTCTGGAATTCTCTGTCTCCTTTTGACATAGCTAGTTCCTTATCCACCCTACTCCAAACCTGTAGATTGATGATAAAAAGGGACCTTCCTTGCCCACCCTTTTTAAACACTCTGTCCTCCACCATTGTATTCTATTGATTTCCTTTACAGCTTGAACTTGAACCACCATTGCATATTTAGCTCCTCGTGTTGCATATTTGTTTCCCTTCCCCACTAAACTATAATTTCCATAAGGACAGAGACCATTTCTATTCCCAGGGTCCATCACTTTGTCTTACCAATAGTACTGAGCAGTAAATACTTGTTGAAAAATCAACGAACTCATAGGTCACATGTGGCCACAGAGTTGATCACACTGGACAGACCTATATGAGCAAGTTGTGAGCCCATGTAGGACCACTATATAACTTTCTGACACGTCTCAGTAGAGGCTTTGCAGTGACCCACAAATCTGTGAAGATCATTTAAGACACATACCAGCCAAATCAAGGGATCGCTTCCACTGTCAGGCACACATACTTGGTCCAAGGCCTGAACTGGAAGGAAAATGCCCACCATGGTTGGATCTAGGAGGAATGAAGTGACCTCACTTTGAGGACCTTTTGCATGACCTAGGAAGACCACTAATTTGTTATCTATGGAAATCAGCCCAAGCAGTCTGTTCTTAGGCTGGTAGTGGAGTCATTTAGGGATTCCCACCCAAGGAAGGGCATCTTATTGCTATTTTATTCCTCTCCTACCTTTAGGTACTCACAGGTGAAAGGTTAAGGACTGGGAACTTTGAGCTTAATACTAGTATGTAAGTACTAGTATCACTGCTAGTACTTTGCTCAAAATAGGGGTGCAGGGGAGTAATAGACCATCACATGAGAGCTCTCAAGAAGGCTCTACTGGTGAGAGTGGTTGATAAATAAGAACATTACCTCTGCTGGCCAGGGCATGTGGCTCAGGCAATTTTGTGCATTATCAGAATCAGAAGTATAGGCCCTATAAAAACACGTGCCTTAGAACTTTCAAGGAACTTATCTGTCCCTTAACCTGCCTCCCATGTCTCAACCAGAGGGAACAGAAAAGACCAGAGAGATAAATATAATCAAGGCTTTCATATGGATGATCTAAGAGTGCCCCCTGACTTTTGCAAAGCCTCCACAGTCTTCCACAGGTCCATGGACAGATACTCCTATCCTCATCCCAGAAATTATGCTATTTAGGATGAAGTCTTAATATTTTCCATGACCTGTTATGATCAACCTTCCCAATCATTTCCCAAATTGTTGGGTGCCTTCTCTGGTAGTCATCAAGCTAGGTGCCAGAGGCATGAGGATAAGTAAGATGCTATAACTTACCAGTTATGAGTTTCACAGCTACAGATTCAATACTGTTCTCTGCACTTCATCAGCATTATGACCTGTTGCTCTGAGCTTTAGTCTTTTGAACAAAAGTGAAAATCATAGTCTCTGTTTCCTACGTCACTGAATGCTGTTTATATCTCAATTATCTCTGGAATTGGCAGTCAAACTTTGGTAGACTAGAGCTCAGGAATGGGTAAGAAGATCCTCATTCCACTGTGGGGAAAAGGAAACCTTGGAATGGAGAAAAAGGGGTCCTCCACACTCATTTTCCACTTGGGCTTCAAGCATTGCTTTCATTTCGTGAAACTGCTTTCCCTGGAGCTGCTGGCTGTGTTCTGGGCAAGGGTCTTCCCCTGCTCTTCTCAGCCCCATAGTAGATAGGCAAAAGACTGTCGTATTATCATAAATGCAGAAATGGTGATTTGGAGGTGGCTGAGAGTCCCAGGGATTTACCCTCTCTTGCTTTCCTCTCCTGAAGTTTCAAAACACGGGGCCCATGGGGAAGGTGGATACCCTGCCTACCTGTTTGTCCACCTTTTAGTTCAGAGCTGGTCCCGACATCCCATCCTTCACAGTCCCACCCCACAAGAACCCAGCAAAAACATCTTGGTGAAGACATTTATTTAATATGGGGGGTGGGGTATTGCTGTCTCTGTCAGTGTGTAAAGGGTGGTAGGGAGACAACCAGAGGGACTTCTGTCCTGGAGTAAGAGGCTGTTCTGGCCCCAGGCAGTGGGGCAGAGAGCAGACTGAGGGGTCAGGGGAGGTGTGTAAAGGGGATAAGGTGAAGCTCTGCACACATCCTTAGGACCACAGTCCAGGCCCACCCAGTCACCAAAGCAAGAACCGAATAAATAAAGTGCAACCATGGGGTTTGGGGAGGAAAGGGAAGGTATGGGCGCACCCACGCCCACAGCCCACATTCAGTGCTGCCAGATCTGGCCCACCTCCCAGCCAGACCCTCTTGTCCAATCACCCCTTTGTCCGTCCCTCCATGAGCCAGGCAGGGCCCCTGTTCAGCTACTGGAGGTAGCGATAAGCCTTAAAGCAGTGGTTGCCAGCATCAGCCACCACCACGTGGCCATCCGAGGTCAGTGCCAAGCCCTGTGGGCCATACAGTGGCTCTGCAGAAGTGTTGATATAGGACAGGAAGGAGCCAGAGCTGTCGAACACCTGGGGAAGGAGTGGAAAATGAAGGGAAAGGTAAGGTCAGACAGGTAAGAGGCCGCTTGGGGGAGGGGCACAAGGGCAAAGCAGGAAACTTCACTCTCATGCTATCCCTAGGCCTCACTCACCTGGATACGGCTGTTGCCCCAGTCTGCCACAATGATGTTCCCATTGGAATCCACAGCTACTCCTGTGGGAGCATTGAACTGCCCGTTGCCCTCACCATGGGAGCCAAACTTGAAGAGGAACTCTCCATCGGCACTGTATACCTGGCGGGGGAAGGGGCTAGGGACTGAAGACCTGGCCTCAGGCACAGGGCGGGTCCGTGGAGAAGGATGGGGTGAAGCACTAGGGTTGAGGATCCCCAGATCTATAGTAGTAGCTCAGATCTTCTTCCCAGGTTTCAAATCCACATAGCCTACCACCTCTTGGATGGCTCAGCAGATGTCCACTAAACATATCAAATTAAGCAGCACATCTTCCCTGAGAAAGCAGCTGTCAGAGTTCTCAAACTCAATGACTGGTACCACCCAATGGCATGCGTCGCTCTCAACTCTATCATATTCTCTGCTTGACAGCCAAACAGTTCACACAACCCTTGACTCTATCTCAAATCCCTCTCAAATCTGTATATGTACATACTTTATCATGACCCAAGTTCTCATCTGGACCACTGTGAGACTAATCTTCCTGCCCCAGAGGAGATAGGCAAAAGACTATCCTATTTTCACAGATGCAGAAATGGGGATTTGAGAGCCACAGTGATCTTTCTAAGACACATAGGATTGCATCACTCTTCTGCCTGCAATCCTTCAAGGACACTCTAGAGCTACTGAGAAGAGAGTAAGCCCCTTAACAGGGCACATGGGCCTCACCCTCACCTTGGAGCAGTGCCCTCCTCAAATTCACTCTGAAATACATCCGGTTTCTTGAACACCCCTAAGGGTGTCCATTTCCCATTCCTGGCTCCTCCTTGCCCTCTGCCTCAAACACTCTCTTCTTTCTCTACCTCTGGTTAATTCTCATTTGTGCTTTAGGTCTTCCCCAAACAGTCTCCTCTGAATCAAATACTCATCCACAGTTCCCTGCACCTCCCTATTACAGAACCTATCGTATCATATTGTAATTTCCTAGTTACCATCTTCTCTTTCCTACCTGACAAACCAAGAAGATAAAGAATATGTTTGCTTTGTTCATTACTGTAACCCCAGCTTCTAGCATAGTGTGTAGGACAAAGTAGCCATGCCATAAATGCTTATTGGTTCAGTGAATTATTTCAAGAGGGAAAAAAGGAGATGAGAGAGAAAGGAGTCTTGTGGAAGAGGAAAGGACACTGGGACAGTAGTCATGGAGTGAGGGAAGACACTGACCTTCACCGAATGGTTATGGAAATCCGTTACTACAATCTCGTTCTTGTTGTTCACAGCCACAAAATGGGGCCCTGAAATAGAAAATGGTTGTTAGGGCATTAAGCTCAGGTACTGAGTGGGACAAGAAAGAGTATCTGGAATGACACAGTATCTAGGGCTGAGATAAACCGTCTCCGGGATGATGACATTAGGGTATGCTAAAGGGTCCAAGATAGAGGAGAATGGGTCTTTATAGAGTTAGGGTATCCAGAGGAGTTTTCTGGGACATATTGGGATAGATCTTACAGTTGTCCTCCCATACCTGCAAAGTGGCGGTCAGTAGCCCCACGGCCCCCAAAACGTCCAACCAGCTTGCCATTCGGTTGGAAGGTGAAGACACAGCAAGATTTGTTGTCAACCACAATGATATGTCCATTCCGGTCTACAGCCACTCCTTTGGGCCCCATGAGGCGGCCGGCTCCAATCTTGGTCTAGAGATAGGAGGTACCGTAAGGGGCTTTATCCCGACTAATGGGGAAAGCATTCCAGGTCCTACATCAGACCAGAACCTTGGGCTGAGGTTGGACCAGAGAGCAACAAGAGGCAGGATTGGACCATTTCAGGCCCTGACCAGCAAGAGGCACGAGCATGGTCAGCTGAGTTGGACACCAAGGGTACCAAGTGCAGCAAGTGTGGGCCTCTCACCTTGAATTTGCCCTCAGGGGAGAAGATGCTGACCCAACGGTTGTCATAGTCTGCCACGATAATGTCTCCATTGGTGTCCACTGCCACACCTGTGGGGCGCTGCAGCTGCCCAGGTGAGCGCCCTCGGACCCCAAAACGGAACTTGAACTGGCCCTCATTGGAGAAAACCTAGAGCAGAGGAGCAAGGGAGGGAGCAGGGAGGAGGGGAAACACTGTAGGCACAGAGGGAAGAAAGCAGGATTCTGAGGGAGGAAACCCCCCATTTATTCAGTCATTCAACAAGCACTCACTGACACCATGCTAGGGATACAGAGGAATCAAATGTGACAGCACACCTCAGGGAACATGCAGCAGAGGTGTGAAGGGGATTGTGAGATGAAAGGGGTTGGGAGGAACGGTGAGGAAAGACACTAAGAGAAGGGGATATTGGAGCTAATAGTCTAAAAAGGATGCCAAATGATGAACCAAAATCAGCCAAAAAAAAAAAAAAAAAGTAATAGGAAATGGAGTGAACAGTGTGTGAAAGCACAGAGTTGAGTATGGGCACTGCTCAAGGACATGTCCTGTGTGGCTGGATTGAGGGGAACACTCTGGTGACCAAGAGGAGTTATGTTTTATCCTAGGTGTAACGAGGAGTCAATGAAAATATCTGGGTATGGAAGTGACAAGATCAAATTTATTTTTTAAGAAAGAGCACTCTGGTTACAGGGCTGGAAGCTAGTCAACCAGTCAGAGGCTGCTAAAGGAGTCTAAGTGAGAAATGATGAAGGCTTGGATCAAGGATATAGGCTGAAGGGAAGTAGATAGGAGGACTCAACAGGACTTCATAGCAGACTGGAAAGGAGTAGGTGAAGCAGGAAAAAGTGTACAAAGATTACTCCATTCAGGCTGTAGGGCTGACAAGGTAACCCTCCTCCTAGATAGAATGAACCTTTCAACTTTTCCTCTTCTACCTCCTCCACCTCAGCTGCCCTGCATGCTTAGGTCTCTCCATCCTAGAAGCACCTCATTTAATCCTCCTTCCCTCTTAAACTAAGCCTTCCGGCTTCTCCTTCACAGCCAAAACATTATTCACTGCATAATTCTCCTATACTCTGCTTTGTTACGGGCTCTGGGGATACAAGATGAATTAACAGAGTCAGGAAGGAGTGGCCTTTAAGAACCCAAGTTCTGAACTTTGGCCTTGCTCTTTGATCCAGACCTGCTCCCTCCTTGATGGGCGGGGTTCCCCACTCAGCCCCACCCCCATGTCTTAGATCTCTGGGGCTGTTTTAACTGGTGCCATCAACAGACATCACCTCCTCCTGATGCAGACCTTCCAGCAAGCCTTTATCTGGCCAGCCAGCACAGCACATGGGTTCTGTACTGTTCCTCTGCATCAGGACATCACTTGACAGCATGAGAAGGGAAGTATCACAAGCTAAAGACCAGAAGTGAGGGGGACTAAAAGGTACCATCGGGTCAGTGCCTCCTATAGTTTACACAGCTCGGTAGACTGATGAGGCTTTGCAAGGCCATGTTCTTCCCATCCTATCTCATACCAGCTCTTACACTTGGAAAACTTCTACTCATCTTTGGATTCTTAGAATTTCCAGGTCATTTCTTCTGAGAACCTTTAATGACCAGCCCCTACCCTCCACAAATCAATATATACATGTAAAGTTAGGTCTCCTTGATGCATGCTTTACGGTGCTCTTTATATTCAGCTGTCACTTTGTGATTAATTACCTGTTAAATATCTGCATCCCTTTCTAAGGATTTAAGGCCCACAAAGGAAAGGGACTGCCTCTGTTTTGCTTGCTGCTGAATTTTCAGCACAGATATGGTTTTCAGCATTGAGAGGACACTCACCAAACAAATGAAGTCCCCAGGTAAATCTTGGACCTAAACTGGATATCTCCACTCAGATGCTGTATAGCTACCACAAACTTAATGTGAGAAAGTGAACCCATCAACATATACCTGGGCCTGCTCCTGAATGACACCCATGCACCTAGTCCATCAAGTACTATCATCTTCTTTCTTTTTGGAACTGGAAATTGAAATCAGGGCAGTTTACCAATGAGTCACATTCCTAGTCCTTTTTATTTTTTGAGATATGGTCTCACTAAGTTGTTGAGGATCTCTCTAAGTTGCTAAGGATGGCCTCAAGCTTACAATCCTCCTGTCTCAGTCTCCTGAGCTACTGGGATTATAGGCATGTGCCACCTTGCCTGGCAAAGTCCTGCCATTTATTTATTTATTTATTAGTACTGGGAATTGAACCCGGGGTGCTTAACCACTTAGCCACATTCCCAGACATTTTTATTTTTTATTCTGAAACAGAGTCTCGTTAAGTTGCTGAGGGCCTTACTGGTTGCTTCGGCTGGCTTTGACCTTGTCATCCTCCTGCCTCAGCCTCCTGAGCTGTGGGAATTACAGGCATGTGCCACTGCACCCAGCTAGTCCTGCTATTCTTGATCCCTCCTTCTTCCTCAACATCTGATAACTCATCATATTTGCTTCCCTGATATGTTTAGAATCTGCTGGTGTCCTAGTTTGGTCCTTAATACTTCTCCTATGCCCTAGGAGTAGTAAGTAGATCCCTGACTTTAGTAATCTAAGTGAGAGAAACAAAATAAAATAAAACCAGACAAAAATCAAAAGAACTAAAATGCCAATAGAACAAACTAATGCTTCTAGCAAACTATGAAAACTGCTATAGCAAGATGCTAAGGGAGGTCAGAGAAGGAAACTGACCAACATTCTGACTGAAGGGAAAGAGGATTTTTCATGAAGAGCTGACAAAATGTTTGGATTAAGACAATGACATAATATACACAAATTAAATTCTTCCTTCAAAATCACAGAGCTTTTTCTGCTCTGTCAGTGTGGTTCCAATGATAGGCTTTGCTTCACCCTATACCCCAGAAAAACCAAAAGAAAAAAAATTCACAAGGATCCCAAACCTTATGAACAAAGTGAGGTCTTGCACCCTATCTGGGATCCCAGTCCAAACTAGTTCTGAGGACCCTAGAGTAAGAGAAGCAAAATCTCATCTTTGGCATCTGAGATATGATATTGGGGCAGAGGTGGGAATAGAAATCAAAGGAAGGCTGCATCAGCTGTATCAGATGTTTGAGGCCTTCGCTCTCAATTCTTCACCCTTAAATAATGGACAGCCATATCTCCTCTCTATGGAATACAAAGCAACATCCATTTTTCTGTGTATGTGACCATGTGAGCACCATTTGTTTCACACCAGGAAAGATGTGTCCCAAATCTCAACTTTTGTGCCATAAGGTGATACAAGGAATTGGAAGGTGGAAGGTCTACCCAAGTAAAGACTCAGCACCTGTCCTCCTACCACCTGCTCTCCAGCCCTACCTCACCATCCAGGGTTAGCCCAAATGCCTCCCTGTGCTGCAATGGGCTTCTCAGATCCTCTGCTCTTAGGAATAGGGTAGGAATAAAGGGAGCTGGTTAGGACTGAGAATCTGGCCACAGAAGCGTTCTTGGTACCTTTAGCCTGCTAAGTGGAAAGCAGGGGCCAGAGAGGAGCTGTCACTGAAATAAAAGACTTTAGCAGAGCTGGATCAGGAAATTTAAAAGTATAGCTATTATGAGGTAGGGATCTTCAGGAAAATTTTGCTACCCAATAACATATTTCTAATAACTGAAGCACGTGGTAGTTAGAAATAATTCCCTGTGGTATAAAATCAAAATTCCACAGCATCATCTCCAAACCACTTACAATCTGACCTCAGCTACCCCCAGTTCCTAATAGTAATCTACTTGCAGCCCTGTTGGTATCCTTCCAGTTCTCTGAACAGTCCCTTCTAGCACTTTCCTACGTCCTTGCCTTTGTTTACAGCCTTCACCTGGACAATGATATTTTTAACAACAGCTAATATTAGAAGGTTCACTAGGTGTCAGATACAGTACATTACATCACTTAATATTGCCAGCAACCGTGAAAGATGCTTTTCCTAACTTTATACATGAGTTAACTACAGCTCAAAGAGGTCACATGACTTGTTAGTACGTGGCAGAGCTGGGATTCAAGCCCAGGTTTCTGGTTTCAAAGCCTGAGCTTTTAACTGTTTATTCCACTACTGACCCCTATACTGGGCTCTAGACATATTACAAGGAGTAGAAAAAAAAAGACATGTTTCCTGGTTTTAAAAAGCTCACAATGCATCAGCGACCATGTCCATTCAAGGTGGCAGATGCCTTAATCAACTGTGTGAGGTACCAAGTAGGCAGGAACAGGACCACCTGTAGGGTTGCACTACATCTTCTAGCCACTGGAAGGTATCCTCTTTGGTCAAGTTAGTCCCCCACATTTAACTGTCTAGCTAACTAAATGATTTAAGAGACTCCAGGCAGGCAGTATTCCCCCTGGAGCCAGGCTGATATGTGGGAAGATAGCATGACAGGGCAAGCTACATTCTGACCACTAGGACAAAAGGGAGAAAGTAAGCCTGCCAGCTGGCAGCTCAAGAGGCAGAGGGGAAGGGTAATGACTAGATCATTGAGGTCTAGGATCTGATCTAACATGAGCCATGGCCTGGGAGGTAGTGGCTGCAAGCACAGGAAACCCTGGTGTCTGACTGAAGGTACTGGTTGCTGTAGTGGCCTGTGGAGACATGTGAATGGTACTATACGCAGGGTTTCATCTTTCAAGAGGTGACCTGTACCCTCCATTTTTTCAAAAGGTGGTAGTTTGAGAAACCCTTTTTGGTGAGAGGTAGAGGCACTTACTAGGGTACTTACCTGGATACACTGATTGTTGCTGTCTGCTACCACAATGCGACCACTGCTAGCTGCAGACACGCCTTGTAAATTAGTGAATTCACCCTTCTCTCTTCCACGACTGCCTGGGGGAGGGATGAGAGAGGAAAGGATATCATTTTGAACCTCCTCTCCTCCTTGCCCCGCCCCCTGCCTGAGCCCTCCCCCATCTGGCTCTACCCTCGGCCATCTGTACCAACACGGAAGACGAGCTCGTCCTCAATTGGGTTCTCCTTCCGTTTGCCACCTGTGCTGTACATAGAGCTGGGCCTACGCACCGCCTTCTGGCGCACATGGCTGCCTGGTCCACCAGGGGACTTGACACGGCGCTTCACATCATCAGGGGAAGGTGGCAGGTCCCCAGGACGCAGGGCACGCACACGGAAGGGGCTGCCACGCACTGGCTGCCCGTAGAGCAGCACTGAGAGGAGCAGCTCGCCTTCGGTGCGTGCAGTGTACACTAGCTCATAAGTGCCGTTCTTGTGGTCCACCACTGGCACAGGAAGGCGCGTGCCATCCGGGCCTGTGATCTCTGCTCGCAGCTCAGCGCTGCCTGTGCGCACCAGCCGCCCATCTTTGTCTTTGGTAGTGACAGTGAGCGAGGCGGGTTGGCCCACTAGTGCCTGGCGCAGGCCCTCGCCTGTGGCCACTGTCTCGTGTGCAGTGGCACTGGTGGTGAGCAATGCGCCCAGATTAAGCACCGATCTTCGCAGCCCATCAACCTCAAGGACCAGTTCTAGCTGTGCATTCTCATGTGGCCGTTCCGGGAAGGCCTGAGCTGCCAGAGCTGCCAGCCTCTCTCGCATGTGCTTGCGCACCAGTAACACCTCCGGGGCAGAGCCCAGACGCAGTGCCTGCTCCGCGAAGCTGCAGCTACTGCCGATGTGCTCCTGACCCTGGCGCAGTGTGTCTAACTGGGTTTGCAACACCTGAGGAGGCGAGAGGGGAGGAATGGCTGTGCAGACTGGCACCAAGGGAAACTCTGCAACTACTGATGAACTTAAATAGTACCATGGCATGAAAGAAATACAAAGAGATGTATGTGGATAAGGGAGATGCTGACAGCATCTATAAGGCCATGTTAGGAGACAGAAAACAGAGGTTGGGTAAAGGGAAGGCTGCTGTGGAAGATGTGGAGGGGGAGGGCAATGGAGGCAAGTAGACATCTCACAATAGACAATGATTGGAAAGGGTAAGCAGACACACCTTCTGCTTGGCCCCACAAATAGTCTCCAAGTCGCTGACCAGAGCCTGCTTGCGCTGCTGTAGCGCTTGCTCCAGGTCCTCGAAGGCTGCACTGATCTGGGCCAGGGCTTCTGCCTTGCGCTCTTGCAACTGTTGGCTGATGCCCCCGACTAAGGCAATAGCTGTAGACAACTGGGGCAAGCTGGGGAATGGAAACATCTCATAAAACAGACCATCCCTTTTCCCTGAGGACTCTAATTGCTACCCTCTGGGAGATCCTTAATTGATAACTTCTTGAGACTTCTATTTCTGCCCTCCCAGACCCTTTCTCTCCCCTCCCCAGGACACCTACCCTGCCACTATTGAGATACCATCACCACAGCCTCATCAGCCTTGGGCCCCACCCAGTGCCTACCGGCCACGCACAGCCTCAAGCTGGCGCTGCAGGGCTGCCTTGTGCTGCTCCACCACGTCCCGCAGCAGCACTGTGCCATGCTCCCGATGCTCTCCTGCACGGCACTCTCCGCACATGGCTGTCTCACAGGCCTCACAGTAAAATTCCATCGTCTGGCGGTACAAGGACTCTGGTGAGGCAATAGCCAAACTCTACAACTCTTTTGCCCTCTCCCCTTCCCATATGCCCTCCATGCCCTTCACCTTCCAAGTGCACCCCCTACCTGGACACTCATCTAGAGAAACACCTCTCACCCACAGTCACTTGGCTCCCTGCCATTGCCTTTCCTCCTCCTCCCACCCCAAGTCCTGGCCTCACTGGGCCTCGCTTGGGCCCACCTTGCCTTCATGGTTGGGGCAGGAGAGAGGGCGGCCAGCCACAGCGCTGAGGGGGTGGGGGTCCTCGGGGTCGTGGGCCCCATCGGGTGCTTGCTGCATGGCCTCCATGAGGCTGCTGATGAAGAAGTTGTTCTGCAGTGCTGAGACACCCTGCTCGGGGAGGATGGACGTCTGCCGACACACCGGGCAGGACAGCGTCAGGCTCTGGGCAGGGATGTAGTTCTGGAGACATCTGGCCAGGAAGAAGGGGCAGTTAAAGGAAGGGGGTGGGGCAGCCTCTACTTCCTCCCCCCACAGGTGTGAACCCCCCTCCTTACAGGTGTGCCATAATTACACTTCATTTTGAAACCTCTGTGATTGACACACATATACTTCATCTGCCAGCAGGTATAAAAGGCCTCTCATGACTGAATTGAAATATATCCCTGGGTGCTCTCAGAATAGCAGACATAGCTGCATTCCCCACAGTATGCACAAACACAGTTTTACCTTTCACAGGTGTTTATAAAACCTCAAGAAAATGTACAACTAGCCTCCCCACCCTCCTTTAACTCATTAAACATTTACTGGCTTCCCACTCTTGCCTAATTTGAGCCAAGCTCTGGGGATAAAAAGCTAAAGCACAGTGCTTGCCCTTAAAATAGTTCTAGGCTTCAGAGAAAAACAAAATCACAGAAATACAGAATTTAAAGCATTTAATAGTGTAATGATTAAGGGCATGAGTCCTGGAGCTAGGCTGCCTGGGTTTAACTCTTAGGTCAATGACTGATTATATAGTGTGACCCCTGACAAGTTACTTAACTTTTATGAGCCAAGGACTCTTCCTTTGTAGAATGGAGACAGTGAAGACTTCACAGGGTCTGTCAGAGGAGTAAATGTAAAGGACTTGCTTACATTTAAAGAGGACTAAATGCCTGACTTACCAAAGTGCTACATAAGGTAGGCTACTAATATTACTTATCATTAATACAAGGAACATAGTAGATGTAGTCATGAGGAAATATATCTGGCTTAGGTGAGTGGAGAAGATGGCCCAGGAAAGGCTATAGAGGAAGTAATGTAACCAAAATCTTCATGGGTAAATAATTATTAGCCAGAGCAGAGAAAGATACAAGAGGAGGAGGAAGGGTGGTCCAGATATAGAAGAAATCAAGAATCAGCACAGTCTATGGGGATCTAGAAGCAGTTTGAACTGACTGGAGACAAAGTTCAATCCAAGGAATGTTAAGAGAAGTCAAGGAACGTGATGTTAATTCCAGCAGCAAGAGGGAGCTACAAGAACATGGGATAGTCAGGTTTGCATTTTTTTAAACTCCTTGGCACCAACCTGCGTAAAGGGTAAATCTGAAGGGAAGGAGACATCTTCTAGTTATCATTTATTAATAAGTACATGTATATCAGGTGCTATACTTTTCACTTTATGTTATCAGGCTCAGAAAGGGCAAGTGGTCCAAGGTAACAAAACTAGTGAGCTCTGGAGTCTGGATTTAAATGCAAAGCAAAGAAAAGCATGTACTTAAGCAGTATACTCTTACAGTAGTCTAGGAAAGAGGTGAGGGAGACCTGGATTTAGGCAGTGGCAACACTGTTTGGGACTATGAGGTGGGAACAAATTTGAGAAGTATTTAAGTTTAACAAGTGAAAAGTGTTGATTGTAATGTGAAATGAGATGAATGTTGGCTGGATCCTGGGTTCTTAGCTTAGGTACCTGAGTGGATAGTAGTGATATTCAAGAGGATGAGAAACAGAGAGGAGTAACTTATAGGAAGTTTGGCATTTTCCAGTTTGGCTTAGTGAAACAGTGGAATATCCAGGTAGAGGGTACCAGTAGACAGTTGGAGAGAAGACAGGTTAGAAATAGAAATGGGGCTGCCATCAATATTTAGATAGCCTTTATATCCAAGGAACAGGATGAAATCAGTCAAGAAGGGATAAATAGTGATAGGAGAGAAGGACGGATCATTCAGCATATATGGAACAAGGACAGCAGAAAGGCCAGAGGTGCAGCAGTGTTAGGGCAACAAGATGAGTCCAAACAGGAATGAATATTAACCAGGGTGGAATGCAGCTGAGGTATCCGATAGGGTGAGGACTGAAATGCCCACTGAACGTGACAAATGTGAGGGTACTTCTCTTCATGAGAGGAAAACAAAAAGAGAAAAGGAGTTGTGAGAGAAGAAAAGTCTGACTGATAAAAGTTGAAGAGTAAAGGGGAGGTCAGGCAATTGAATGGGAATGGGATTGAGGGACTGGATGGCACTGGAGGGGGGAAAGAGGACAGAGAGTTTTTCTGTGTTTGTGCTGGGAGTTTTGAGCATGTTTATAATTTAAGAAGGAGCCAGTAGAAAGGGAGAGATGGAAGGAATTAGCAAACCAACAGTACAAAGTCTTGGGGATGGAGGGAATGGCTTGGGTTGTCCTGAAAGGGAGGAGTGGACACCATCCTCTGATGGAAGAAAGAGGAAAAAGAGAAGTGGATATAGAGGAGCACAGGGGCAAAGTCCCAGAGAGGATGCCTAACTTGCCTCAGGCAAGATCAGCAGCAGTAAGGGCACAAGAGAGGAAGGAGGGAGGAGTCAGAGACTGTGGTGGCTGGGATTAGTCACTGCCATGGGGGCAGGGGGTATATGATACTTACTAGAAACAGACCTCGGGACTGCAAGCAGCTGTATTTGAAGACTGAAAATTTGTGGAGGGAAGACCTGTATTACCCAAACTCTCCATATCCTTAACCTCTTCTCTTAATGTTCTCTATACCTTTTCCACTAATGAAATAAAATTTAACACATACTACGTTCCAGGCACAATTTTAAATGCTTCACAAATATTAGCTTATTTAATCGTGACCTACTTTTCCCTGAAGTCTTCTCAAGTAGAGGGTGGTTTTTGTCTCATGCTCCACATTCCGTAGGGCCAGAGGTAGGGTGGAACCCCCCTCTTCCCAACTGGAACATTCTATTTGTCTTCAGCTCTTTTGAAACTCATGCCTCTGTCTGTACCACCCCTCTTTGTCACTGTCTCCTCTGACCTAATAGTCGCTCCCCGCATTGCTGAAGTCTTTTTCCTGACTCACTCTCTTCTATTACATCCTGTCTCCCTCACATTCTGCCATCATTGTTGGTGCCTCTGATAGACACAAAATGACCTGTTATCATTGTGATTTCTTGATTCCTTAACCTCCTCACCCCAATGATCTTTTCTTCCATTTCACCCCAGCTGTCTATCCATGTTCCCACCACCAACCATATCAACGGCCACAGCGCCAACTCTGAAATCTCTTCTCCCAGCTCACTGATTCTAGCATTACTCCTGCAAAATACCTTCTAACTTACCAATTCCTCCTTCCTATCTGTTGCGTGTACCTGACTTCAATAACCATCAGTTTCCTAACTGGTTTCAATTCCACTCTTCTTTACTCCATTTTCCATACAACCAAAGTGAGCTTTAAAAAAATATTTTTTAAAATTAAGATAATTTATTAAAAAAACAATCTATCTCTATATTTATTTATTTAGCGGTGCTAGGGATTTAAAAAAAATTTTAAAAAATTTTTATTTTGAGTCAGGGTCTCAGTAAGTTGTCTAGGCAAGCCTTAATGATCCTCCTGCTTTAGCCCTCACAAGTTGATAGGATCACAGGCATGCACCACTACACCTGCCCCCCCCCCAAAAAAAAAATCTCATTTATATCACATTACTTTGTGAAAGAAAAAAAAAATAGAAAGGCCCTCCATACTTTCCCTCTCTGCTTAGAATAAAATCCAAATACTCTCCTAAAACCTGCAAGGGCCCCCATGAATTGCCATGACTGATTTCACCTCCTCTCAGTTTCCTCCTTACTCAGTTATACATACTAGCTTCTTTTTTGGTCTCTGAATATGCCCTGATGACTTCTTCCTTAAGGTCTCTACCCAGATTTTCTGTTGCCTACAATAATCTACATGTCTACCTATTCTCATCCTCAGAACTCAGGTCAAATGTAACCTTCTCATAGCTATCCCTGGTAACCACATAGAATATCCTCCAGCTCATCACTTACAGTTTGTTTACTACAAAATACTTAGTAGAAGCTGCAAGTCTTTTGATTATTCACTTATTTACTAACCAATGACTACTAGAACATAAGCTCTTTGAGAGCAGGGACCAAAGGATAAATGAGTGGGTTCTAGTGAAGAATGAAGGCTCTACAGTCAAATCTGGATTCAGATCTCAGCTATTTACATGCTGTGTAGCCTTGGCCATATTTCTTACTTAATGACCCCAAATCTTAGTTCCCTCCTCTCTAAAATGGGGGTAATAAAGTATCTATTGTGAGGATTAAATAAATCAATACATGTAAATCACTTAGAAAGTCCCTGGCAAGCCAGGCACAGTGGCACATGCCTGTAATCCCAGCAGCTTGGGAGGCTGAGACAGGAGGATCACGAGTTCAAAGCTAGTCTCAGCAATGGTGAGGTGATAAGCAACTCAGTGAGACCCTGTCTCTAAATAAAATACAAAATAGAGCTGGGGATGTGGCTCAGTGGCCAAGTGCTCAATCCCCTGATACCAAAAAAAAAAAAAAAAAAATCAGTGAAAGTCCCTGACAAACAGCAATCAATACATTGTAGCTATTGTTATTATCATTATTATAATTTCCTAGGCACCTATTTTCTTCAGGAGTACTCAGTGATCTGGGTACAGGAGAAAGTGCAGAGATGTCCAATTACAGCTCTGATCCAGCACTGAGCTGTCATGGATTTAGCAAATGCCCAAGTTATGAGGGAACTATGTAGGGGCTAGTCAGATGATCATCCATAGGATCTAGGATGGGCAGGAAAGAAAAGAAGGTCAGGGAAGAGTCAGTGACTGGGAGAAAAGTGAGCAGTTGAGGGGGCTAGACTTTTTTAGGGAGTCAAAGATAGCATAGTGGCAGTGGGGTAATAAAAGACACGAGTAGAATACTGAAGTTTATGACCACAAAATTGGTTTTATTCCAGATCATGACCAGACTGAGACCACTGCTGGGAGAGAGTATCACTGAGATGGAGTAGAGAAGAAACAATGAAGAACTAAGAAGCATAAGTGGTTAATGAAGTCACCACGTTGATATAAGAACTTGTGAGTGGTAAGGCTGAGACCATTTCCTATTGATGAGGGGAAAGGCAGTGGAGCTAGAATTTCAAAAGAGCAGATCTGGAAGGGAAGCAATGTCTTGGGCAGAGCCAAGTTTCAGTGAAGATGGAACAGATGGAAGGTTTAGATGAAGGTGATGGTGAGAAGGACCCAGGGACCAGGACATCCAAGAAAAACTCAGGAGGAGTGAGGGCCAAAGAGAGAATATGGTCAAAATACAGATGTGATCATGCATAAAACCTTGCAAAGGCTTTCTGTGGCTTTCAAGGAAAGGCACACATTCTCTAACAGATATACCAAGCACACATGGTCTGGCCTCCAGTTCCTTCTCTAGCTTCGTCCCAGGCATCCTCAATCACACTTGCTCTGCTTCAGCAGAGCTGGAGAGAGTGGCTTCTTTCATGTCCTCTTTCCTGCCTAGAATGCTCTTCCAATTTCCTTTACCTAGTTAACTAACACCTGTTCATCCTCAGAATCGCACCTTAGGGAAGCTTCCCTGATTCTCTGGACTATAACAGTCCTATCTGCCAAGTTCTCATAGCTGACACTTTATCTGCAGCACTAATTAAGGGTGCAATATTACATTTATCCATAATCTGGCTATATAATTATTTGATTACTATTTCCTTCACTATTCTATGGTCTTTTGTTTTTAGGGGTTTGTTTTGTTTTGTTTGCGGTACTGGGGATGGAACGCTCTACATAGAGCTACATGCTCAGCTCTTTTTGTTTGTATTTTGAGAAGGGGTCTCATTAAGTTGCTCAGGCTGGCCTCAAACTCCAGATCCTCCTATCTTAGCCTCCTAAGTTGCTGGGATTACAGGTATGTGCCACCATGCCCATCTACTATAATTCAGGCTCCTAAAGAGAAAAGATCATATCTGTTTTTGCTCATCACCATATACTCAATGTCTGGGACAGGGTCTGATATGTACTAGTTGCTGAATAAATAAATATTCAATGAATGAATGATGATTAGAAGTCTAGAGGCTGGGAATAATTGCCTTTCAATCAATGCTTGAGTATGACAATGAGGATAGGCAGGAAAGGACAGACCTGGCTTCAATAATCCTCCTATTAGTCACAAAATCCACAGTGCCAGAGCCGACTGAGAAACTCAGCACTGTCTGATTTCTCTGTGATATTGAAAGCCGCCTTGGGATCTGGGAAGGAGCAAAACAAAAACATTTTCTGGGAAGGAACCCTGGCCTAGTATTAGCAGATTTTGGAACTCACAGGTTCTTATAACCAAACCCTTTTCTCCAGCAGGTTGGGGATCACCTGCTTCCCCTCCCATGAGTGAATGTTTCCCTCACCAGTATACAACCCCTCACCTCTCACAGAAGGTATGCAGGCAAGGCAGAACTTTGGGGCACCGGTACCGATCCAGGCAGATGCTGCACACAAGGAACTGCTTGTCCATTGGCTGCACTTCTGGGCCAGGGCTGTCCTCCCTCTTTGCCATGGTGACCACAGATGGCTCCTGCCACTTATAATAGCCTGTGTACAGAGAGATGGTCAGCAGCAGAGAGGCCAGCACTCCCTCTTTCCATCTGATCCCCACCATTCAAATCCCCTGCAGAGAAATTCACCCCTCTCTTCCCTGACAGAAACAGGACAGGGAAGTGACTAGGAGCAGGTAAAGTGGATGTGATGAATGACCCCTGAGCATGATGATCTGTTTCACGGCAGACTTGGGTTAACCTGGCTCAGTCTCTTGCTTACCATCTGTGTGACTTTGAACAAGCCTTCTTTAAGCCTCAGTTTCCTAATATGCAATTGAGCAAATAATAATTCCCTACCACAAATGGTTGTTTTCAGAATCTGAAATAGTACACATCAAGTGCATGGTACAGGGATGTCCATCTTCACTGACACACCCACTTTTCATCTCTTCTGCCTCTCCCAAACCCTCCTCCAAGAGCCTTCCAAACTGGGCATGGTGGCACATGCCTAGAATCCCAGCTACTCTGGAGGTTGAAGCAGCAGGATCACAAGTTTGAGGCCAGCCTGAGCAAATTAGTGAGGTCCTATCTTGAAATAAAAAACAAAAAGCACTGGGTGTGTAGCTCAGTGGTAGAGAGCTTACCTAACAGGAGAGGGGCCAAGTTTCATGCCCAGTACCACACAAAAAAAGGAGCAGGGCAATTAACAAAGTAACAAGTAAATACAAAATTATACAACATAACAAAGTAACAAGTAAATATAAAATTACACAAGGTGTCACATCAGTATTGGGGGAGAACTATAAAAACCAAGAGGATATGATGAAAAAGAACACTTCTGACTGGAGATCAAGGAAGGGCTCTCCAAGCAGTGAACCTAAGCAAATCTGAAGATGAGAGAAAATTGGTAGGGATGAGGGTGGGAAACAAGGAATTAGGGAGAAAATCATTCTAGATTGAAGAAAAAGCATACGAAGATTCTCAGGCAGAAAGCTCATTGAGAACTGAATGAACCATGTCGTTAAGAGGTGGATTTGAGAAATAGATTTGAGATGAGATTATAAAGGATTTATAGGCCAGGTTAAGAATATGATTTTATCCTAAAGCGGGGAAGGAGGTGATATAATTTACAAGTAAATAAAAATAAATTAGAAAGTTACTCTGGGCCGGATGTAGTGGCTCATGTCTGTAAGCCCAGGAGCTCAAGAGGCTGAGGCAAAAGGATTTCCTTCAAAGCCAACCTCAGCAAAAGTGAGGTGCTAAGCAGCTCAGTGAGACCTTGTCTCTAAATAAAATACAAAATAGGGTTTTGGGGATGTGGCTCAGTGGTCAAGTGCCCCTGAATTCAATTCTGTATTACCACCCCATTCCACCCCCCCCCCCAAAGAAAGTTATTCTGGTAACTATTAGAATTGAAAAGAGAAAGAAGCAAGGGTGGAATCAGGGAGACCAATTAGGAAGCTACCCCAGTCTTCAGGTAAAATGATGTTGGACATTAGCAGAGCTACAGGCAGAAAGGTGGACTGATAAGAGAAACAGTCATGGAGTAGAATCAAAAGGATATCGTGATGAATTGGACATACAAAGGAAAAAGGAATGTCAATAATGACTTCCAGATTTCTCACTTGAGCAAATGGTGGGCCTTTAACAGACAGCAGAAGCTAAGAAGAAGTTGTCTGGGGCATTTTGTTCCAGGCATGCTGTTTAAGGTGTCTCTGTGATGTTCAGATACAGTTGTCAAGTAAGGAACAGAACATAGGAGTTCAAAAGAGAAGTCTGGGCTGGTTATCGATTTGGAATCATTGGCATATCGATGGCACTTAAAACAATGAGAATGGCTGTCTTGGGATACAGAGTGGAGTAAGAAAAGGGCTGCACCCAAAGATGCAGAGCTAGCAAAGGCAAGTAAGGTGGAATGGAAGGAGACTCAAGAGAGTGTAGAATCAAAGAGATCTGGGGAGACAGCTTCAAGAAAAAGATGGGGTTGCTGGGCATAGTGATGCATGTCTGCAATCCTAGCTACTAAGAAAGCAGAGGCAGGAGGACCACAAGTTCAAGGTCAGCCTGGCCAATTTAGCAAGACCTTATCTCAAAATAAAAAGTGAAAAGGGCTGGAAAGGGTTAGGTATGTGGTAGAGCACCCCTGAGTTGAATTCCCAATTCTGTTAAAGAAAAGAAAAGAAAAAAAAAAAAAAAAAACAGTGTGGGAGGGGAGATAGGTCTGGCATAAGATAAGGACTGAGAAGTGTTTACCAGATTTGGTTGTGAAGGGAGTGGTAAGGGCAGAAGCCAGGACAGAGTGATTGAAGAATGCATGGGAGGTGAAGTTAACATACATAGCAGATGTAGACAATTCATGACAGAAATCTGGCCATGAAGGAAGGCAGAAAAATAGCCACACTATTTCAAAACAGGTTGTGACTAGGACCAGGTCACCAATGCTTTCCCCATTTAGATGTATCATGGGTCTCTCTAAAGACAGAGAATGAATGGACGAATGAATGCATGCAAGGGGCCAGTTCAGAGCCCTCTTCAAGTGTGGGAGGGAGAGGAGAAGGGCTGATCTGTACATGCCTTATGTTTGTGTGAGAGTGGGCATGGGAAGGTTTATAAGGTCATGTCAGAGAAAATCCTCTCCTGACATGGGCACTGGGTTCCTGAGTTTCTCTCCAGAAGTGACAGATTCAGAATCTGGAGACTTAATATAGCAAAGGGGAAGGCAGAGTGAGGGGTGGCAGAATGAAAGGGGAGCTGCTGGAAGCTAACTGAAGCTCTAGTCTAGAGAAAGGAGGAAGAGTAGGAGTGGTCTGCAGAGCCCTGCTGGGGCAGCTGAATGTCAGACTCCACCTCTCTCCAAGCCCCAGGGGCTCTCCTAGGCTGTCACTCAGGGGCGGGGACTGGGCTATAGCCAAGACCAATAGCTCCTCCCTCCCTTCCCCTTCCTGCTTCAGTTCCCCACCCAGACTTACTGATGAGGCCATACCCCAGTCTGAATCTAAGATTCTCTTCCTTTCCTGGGCTCCTAGACCTACCTTTCCCATCCCACTGTACTCTAGAGATCAGCCCCCCAACAGGCAGTGGTTCAAGTGGGCAATTTATCATAACAGACACTTAAGAGGGTCTTAGACTCAGAGCTGGATTTTTCCCTCCTTCCTTGAGCTGCTGCTTTCTGCCACCCCTACATCCTTAATCCCACCCATCCTTTATGGCTCAGTTCTAAAGGCATCTCATTCCCTTATTCAGCATTCACTCAATACCTCTGCTGGGGATACAAAGATAAATTGTCACAACTCAGCTTCATGGATTCCACAATCTAATAAACAGATCACTGCAATGTGAGGATCACATGGGCAAACAGATTGTTCTAGGAACTCACAAAAAATTACCTAACTCAGATCCGGAGCAGGGGTGGGTCCAGAGATTGCAGGTCAAGGGAGTTTGAAAGAAAGTGACATTCTAGCTGAGAACTACAAGATGAGTAAGTTACAGAGAACATGGTGCCTTCTGCTTCAGGAGGCTGCATCAGTCACAAGAGAAGGCTAAGAAATGAGAGGCAGAGGTAAGTAGGATCTACATCACACAATGCTTCCTTGGCCCTATTAAGGAGTTTAGACTTTATCCTTCCCTGCTGAGGTATTTAGGTTTTATCCAAAGAACAAAGGAAAAGTTTGGTGGTAGCTGGGGGAAAGGAAGTTTAAGCATAGAGGTCATCAAAGTATATTTTTTACTGCTATGGGGGAAATAGCTTAGAGGGTCAAGAGTGGAAAGTTAAGACTGCCTTGATTAGGGTAACAAGAGAGAGACAGTTGAAATGGATTTCATAAGGAAGAATCCACTGAACTTAGTAATTTGTTGGTTGGTTTTTTGTTGTTATTGCTATTGTTGCTATACTGAGGATTAAACCCAGGGATGCTTTACCACTGAGCTATATCCCCCAGCCCTTTTTATTTTGAGACAATGTCTCACTAAGTTGCCCAAGCTGGCTTTGAACTTGTAACCCTCCTGTCTCAGCCTACCAAGCAGCTGGAATTACAGATGTGCACCACCAGGCCTGGAAACTGGTTAGTTTTATATGAAAATCTAGGGGGAAAAAAGGAATTTTAATGATTCCTAGTTTTCTAGCTTGGAAACTGGAAGAAGATTAATTTGCACGAGAGGGTGATGAGTTCAGTGTTTAATACAATGAATCCAAGGAATGCCAATATTTAATACAGGCCCAGGAAGCAAAGCCTGCAAAGAAGATTGAGAAGGTATAGCCACAGGAGAAGGAAAAGCAGAAAAGACAAATGTGAAGGCCAAAAGAGAAAACAGCTTCATAAACAAGGGAGTGATCTTCATTGTGAAATACCACAGCGAGGGCCCATGATTTTAAGTCCAAAAGAAGCAGACATTAACCTCAAAGAGTGTAGTTTCTGGGAGCTGGACAAGAGGAAGTCAGATCAAGGGAGTAAAGCAAGAACTTGATTTTGAACAAATGAAGACATCTAGTGCTGTCTCTACTAGATACTTGATATCTACAAAAAATGTTTGTAGGCTCTTCAGTTTCTCCAAATTCCCAAACAGCATCTAATTTTCCCTACTACTTCTTCCTACAATCTCATAAGATTCCCAGTTATACATGACTTACACAGTGATGGGTGGAGGTACCCAAGGCACTGTTGAAAAGTGCATTTAAGAGGTCAGCTAGGCTCTCTTGCTAAAAATGACTCACTCCCACTTACTAGCCTCCATGTGTATTTGATCATTTGAGACCTCAGCAAAACAACAAATGACTACAGGATATAGCTTTGGTGCTTTCTCTGGAACAAAAGAAACCTTGGATGAAGTAAAGTCCTCAAATCCAGGGAACCCTTTCAATAAAGACTGGTAGATAAGGAAAGAGATGAAATTCACAGTAGCAATCTCAGCACTACTGTCTTAGTAGTGGAATGAATCCTCCAATCAAACTTCTCTGGGCCAGGCCCTTTGAGTGGGGATTGGAGGCATAAAACTGAATCAAATGTGCTTCCTATCTTTCACAAGTGTTCAG